ACTAAAGGGTGTTTTTTCATGTCCTCTATGCTCTAACTACGAAAATATTTGATTTACAAATAAGGAATCCTACTTCGCGGAATTTCATTTACACGGTAGGGTCTAGAACCGATTAACCGCGATAAATGAGGGTTCACTGTATAGAAAAGGATTATGAAATATTTGTGGAGTGAATGATTTCCCAGAGACATGTAAATTATTCTGTGATGAGAAATTGTTGATTTTTATTGTGGGGGGGCCTACAATAAGACCCCAAAATGGAGATGACAATTAAAATATTTTTTATTGAGTCTTAAGATAAAGAATTAGCAGTGTTGAGAGATAAAGATGGTGAAGGACGAAGAGAGGCCGGAAATTCAAGCAATAAAAATAAGGAAAGTTAAACTGGGCTTTCATTGAGTGAGATGAGAAAGGAATGCTGTTGTAAGGATTTGGGTGGGAAGGACAAGGAAAAGATTCTGATCTAAGGTCAAGGCCCATCCACCCACCACCTGGGAGACCCCTGGCTGGCCATTCCACTTCAAAGTCCTTCCCTGTGGAGAGAGGGCAGGTACAAACGGGCAGGGAAGCCCTTTCTTCATGACAAATCCTATCCTTCCTCTCTCACAAGGTAGCTCAAACTCCTGAGGACCAGGCAGTGCATGTGGGCACACAGAGTGAATCAATCTCCCAAACCACCAACCCTACCCATCAACCAACGTCTTTCCTTCAAACACACCTCTACAACAGTTCGCTTAGTTCAGCTCTTCCGATTGTGCCCACAGGCACTTGTTCTGAGGTTTGAACACTGTCCCTGGACCAATTCGACAAACAAAATCTTTTGGTAACCCTGTGATGCCCATACTAACTCCCTCAAGAGGATACACAGAAATAAAATAAGTGACGCTGGTCTAACAGGCTGGCCCTGTACAGAGGTGGGGTCAGAGCACACCAGCCCCACCACACATGTTCCCAGGGCACTACTGTGGCCCCTCCAGGACAGGTTGCCAGTAAAAAAATGCCCTTGGTCCTTTTCACGGCTAGTTCAGGCCAGGATTGGGCTTGGACCTTAAACATACAAATATATCCATTTCCCAGTCTTAGACTCATTTCCAAAGGCATGGCTAACCAGCTAGCTTGGTCAAGAATCCCCCAATCTTCATCTAATGGAAAGGGAGACAGCTGTATTAAAAGACTCAATTGCCAAGAGGGAAAGTGACCTTTCAGTACTGGGCTAGCTTAGCGAGAAGGCCTGAGCTTTGATCTCCTTACTGAATCAGAAGCAGATCTGGGCTCTCTATGGTCCCCTTTGTACCCAGATAAGCCCACAATTCCACCCTAAGGCAAGGGCTACTGTACAGGATTTCAGAGAATCTTGGATGCACATTCTCTGTTGTTTTTTTATTTGGTTCCCTAATTGGGCAACTCTAGACAAGAGACGGGGAACTAGGCTCATAGAATAAAATGGGGGAACAAGCGTTGTGTTTGGTTTTCGCAGGTGAGGTTTCTTTGGGCTTGGTTTTGGAGGGTGGTGGTTATTGGGAAACTCCAAAAACCAAACTCTCACCCAGTCGAGGCCGGCTTGTAGCAGCCGCCGTATAGGACAAGAGAGAACGGCCCTGGGGCGTTTCCAAGACTGTAGCAGAAAGCGTGCTTTCCTCCACCCTGGAAAACCAGAAATTCACAACGTCAGTTTCTCAAATGGACCTCCAGAGGGTGCTGTGGGATCAAGGCCCCAGTCTCCCTAGTTCAGGAAGACCTGCCCCATCAGGTCTTTCAGTCCACGAAGCAGCAGCCGGTAGGTTTGAGCAGCACTAACCCCTGGGCCACCAGGGCTCTGGTCTGTATGGGGTTACTGAACCCAGGCCCCCGCCTACTTTTCTTGTCTATCTAACCCCCTTCTATACGCATTGTTTTATGCACGTAGTGGCGCTGTGAATATTTGCCGCAGGGGCGAGAGGATCCCCGCTGGCAGGGACCCGGCAGGACAGAGGCGAACTGTCCGGTGGGTTTTCAGGGCTGCACATCCTCGTGGGAGCAGACGGCCTCATATAGACCACATGCTACCGAGTCCACTG